CTCCTGAACAATCGAGATACAGGACAGGCCAAAAATACGCGAGTGTCTCCGAAAATATAGAACTCATGTGACTAGGCGCAGCAACGCATACAGCAAACTTAAGATCGCGTTGCGCGCTCGATCAGATTTATAGTGAATTCTCCTCTTATTCTTAAACTTCATATTAATTACAACAACACAAAGTAATCTGAGAATATTTAGATCCATAGCGGGCGCTTTTTAAAAATTTCGTGCGACAAATGTTCGCACTTCGTGTGCGTTGAGTCCGTGACAATGACAGGTCCTCGGCGGGCATTTTTTACACGATTCACGGAGTTTTGTCCTCCGCGGAATGAAGTCTTTCGTCTGCGCGGGCTATAAATGACGGACGGTCACATTTAAATTACAATAAATGACTATTTGATTGCTCAGTCAGAAACAGTGACGATCACTTTACAATCCTAGACAGCCTTACAACAAAATAGATTATGGCTTAAAATTCAGGTCGAGTTTAATTTCTAACATGTCGTTATAATTATGTAGATTATGACAACGCAAAAAAAAACACAAATCCTAAAAGATACTTACCTTTTTTTGTATACTTGTGTTCAACGGCACTTAGTGCTTATTAAATATTAAGTTAGTTGTCCCTAACATGCTCTAAATTCGAAAAACAAACGGAACCGTAATTTTTTGGACTAAAGATTGAAAACCTTGAAAAATTGATTGTCTTTGATAACAAAACAAAAGATGATAAGACATCTGTCATAAGTAATAGTAATAGATAATTCTAGAGAATGAAAAGGATAGATTGACAATTTAGTTGACCCTGAAAAACTGCTGAATGGTAGGTACCTAAAGGCATTTAATTTAGTTACTGAACTGAATGTAACTCCTTACGATTTTCCATTTAAAAATCGGTAATAATAAAGATGACTTCCATAGAGATAAATTCCAACATTGTTTTTTCACAATTTCATACAACTCTATACCTACACAAAGATACATTAGCATTTTTGTTTTCGATGAATTATACCGGTATATTTAGTTAACCTTTACACACACAGGCCATTATATTTAAATTAACTTTAATAAAATGTATCTGAAGCTACATGTCCTGTTTTAAAGTAATATCACTCTTACGTTATTTTAAAATGGGTAAATACTTATCTGTCGTTATTATGTTGCTAAGCCGATTTTCACGGTTTATTAATTTTTAAGTAAGATTAAAGTAAGAATTTTTGAATCGTTATATCTCAGGAACGGTGATTCTAAGAAAAAAAAATATGATCTACAATTTTTGTTTGAGGTAATTTTACGATAAAACTTACAGTTTTGACAAAAACCGCGAATAACCCACTGAAAAAAAAACTGGACTCGAGGTCAAAGGTTAACCATTGTTTTTTTTCAAGTACCGGAACAATGGGGAATATTGAAATGTTATTTTGTTTTGAACAATTTTACTCATTTCCAGCTCTATGTCAATTTATGTACCTACATTTATTTCTTTGCCTAATTTGACCGGATTATTTAATAGGTAATTGATCCTCTGATTACGGATACGACTGTACAACGACTTGCAACAATTTTTACTTAAAGTGTAGCTTTAAGTTATCAGATAAGGGTAACGTTTAAATTACATTATTCAGAAAAAGCTTAACAATTCTTTATGTATTTAACACATTCAATTTAACATTTTCAAAGGAATGTATTACAAACCCACCGACACCATAAAAATGCCCTGGCTTTAACCAAAGTTACACAAACATAACAAAATCAATATTATCTACCCCAAAATATGTACTACTTATTTATAGTGTTCTACCATACCGCCAGTATTCGGTAGAACACAGTTGTAGCATATTTAAAGCGAGCTCTTAGTAGAAAAATAAACAAGAAAATTTGTCTCGAAAAGCGTCGAATGATGAAAAAAGAAAAAAGATGGTTATGCTATTTTCTCGTTACTCACTGTAAATGTCAAGAAAAAGGCCAAGTGCGAGTCGGATTCGTGCACCGAGGGTTCCGTACAAACTCAATGTAATACCTCTACGCGTTCATGAGAAAAGAGGTAGTAGTAACTTTAAAATTTTCAAAAATATTTTTTAATCATATGATGTGACCAAAAATTTATGGTTTTCGCAATTTTTCCTTTATCTGTACTATAAGACGTTACTTCGTACCAAATTTCAAAATTCTAAGTTCACGGGAAGTACCTTGTAGGTTTTGATTCCCGTGCGAGTTTCGAAAATTTGCTGCATAAACGGCTGTATCTTTGATTGCCATGGCTTAGAAGTTTGATTTTTTCATAGCTCTAAGGGACAGTAGACATGAGTATTAGATATGAATTTCAGTTTGATACCTCCACGCGTTCCTGAGAAAAAACAGACAGACGGACGGACGGACAACAAAGTGATCCTATAAGGGCTCCGTTTTTTCCTTTTGAGGTACGGAACCCTAAAAAAGATCAAAGTAATGAAAGATGGTTGTATGAGGAATGACTTATAACTGAATGCGAAGAAAACTAAGATCGAGATCCAGAACAAAGGATTATGGTTGACGATATAGTGCTGGAACGAGTGAATGAAATCGTATGTCTTGGTTGTACTTTTACCAGGGATGGAAGGTACACCGCTGGCATAGAGAGAAGAGTGGGTGCAGGAAATAGAGTGAATGGAATTTTGGGAAAACTTCTTAGTAGTTAAAATCTAAGCCAGAAGGTACAGCCAATATGTGGAAGCGGGAGCTGGGTATGTAAGAAAGAGCATGAAAGTAAAATAAACGCAGGTGAGATCATCGATATGTAAGCGTTACGAAAAATTTGTGGAGTGACGCTCGCAGACCGCGTTCGTAATGTGGAAGTAAGAAAGAGAGTCGACGTAAAAGGTGTTAAAATTAACAGAGGCATGCTCTGGTGGTTCGGACATGTGGAAAGAATAGCTAATATATAATATATATAGCAACAGATATACGACGCGATAGAGGAAGGATGTAGAATCCGAGGAAGGCCTTGGTCTTCACGTGAGTCTTGACTCACCCATCACGATAAAATTGACCGCATTTTGAATGTAGATGACGTCAGAAGTCGCAAAAACCGGCGGGCGTGTATGAAAAGAGTAATGAATATGAATGTAGCGAAAGATGTGTGTACGGACCGTTTCTTATGGCGCTCTGTTCTCTCTGCCTTACACACCCGGGACTCGGCACTAGGCGTAAAGATATAGATAGAGGTTTAATTCAGTAGCTTCTGGCGGCGGCATTAAGATTATCTGACAGGAATTGGTGTTTCGTCAGAAATTGGTCAGACAAATTATTTGACGTATTCTCTCCGATTAGAAGTTGCTGGCAACTCCCAAAAATTTTTGTTATCCCCAGTCACCCCCGAGGGGTTTGCCACCTGAGGCAAATGCGAATAAACAAACAAGACCGAAGCAGAGTATATTTTGGAAAGTGAAATGTTATTATAATATTTTAATAGGAAAAGGCTACATAAAAAAAGACCACACCCGACTTTCCGACTAGAGCTTTAATAATACTATGTTCACACAGGCCACAATCACGACTAAAATGCAACCATATTGCTATAACCACTATAATTAGGGTGCTGACTAAAAAGTACCACAAGTGTGTTAAGTGCAACAATGCACCCTATGTAACTGCGTTCCGTAGTACGCGCAGTCACTAAAAACTGACAAGGTTTTTGTTATATTATGAAATATGTCCTTACAACTTCGTTATTATATTTAATGATAAATAAAATACAAAACTAAGTTTTTTTTTTCATTATATAATAATAAAAATCCACTACATACTTGTGACTAATGAATGCCCAGCTACTCACCTAGTTATAACCGAGATAACCCTTTAGTTTATAACAAAATTACCTTATTTTATCATCATTATCCTTTTTCTTGGACCTCATGATCATACCGACTTTGGCCTAAGTCAATAATACTGACTACCCGACCAATAGATGCAGGTAGGATATACAATTAAACTCATTGTCTTTAATAATTTAAATATATTGGTTAAAAGTATTTTATTAAGTTATCTACTTAATTTATCGCAATTAGTGCCTTCGAACTCTTCGAGATTTTAAATAGGCTGATACCTAAGTATAGGTATACACAACGTGTAAACAACCACAGCATATAACGTGATGTAATCAAAAACTTCAAGAGAGCAAAACTTCAATACATATTAGCAGGGGGGTATTTTAAAATCTGGTGCCCCGGGCCACTTTAGATTTGCACGTTAATCAAATGTCAAAATATAGACCAGTAACGGTTACCTTTATATGACTACTGGCACCCCTCGCAGCTCTTGCAGTCGCCCCGGGCCATGGCCGTCTTGGCCTAAGGGAAAATACGCCCCTGCATATTAGTAGATATCGTATTAATGTTTAATATAGTAGGTATAACATTATAAAAATAGCTCATTTTCCTTGATGGTTCGCTCTCATGTTCGGGGTATGAGCTATTTTTTGTTTATTTCATCTCATTCATTCGTTTAAGCGGATGTTATTTTCATTTGTTGGTAGTTTTCTGTTGGGGCAACCATTCTCAATGTGTCCCGCGTGCGGGTTGTTTGATATTCTTCATCATCTGCTTTTATATATCACATTCTCAAAACATGGACAGTTCCGATTCGTTTCAGTTTTTAGCATTTGTAAAGCGATAAAATTATTGCCTTGATTATTTAGGTAATAATCACCAACATAGCTTGGAAATGAGCTTTACGATTCTCAAATACTCGACTAGATATTAAATCCCGACGCCATCACTGTGGACATAGAAACTGCTCTGAAATATTTGATCACATTGTCTGCTTGAAATTTTCAATATATCTGATAGTGACTGTACAATCATAAATTACGCTATAATTTGACAATAATAAGAACGGCAAGAATAACATATCTCGGCCCGATACTTATCAAGCTAATAAGTAATGTATTCTAAACATACTTTAACTTATTTGTAAAAAATCTTAACAATATCGACTATTTTAATCACTCAAACTAAATGGACGCGATGAAATATTGTTCTTTTCTAATATAGGCATCTTTTTTTAATAGAGAATCTAGCTACCCTGAAAGGGATTACAGCCATAATTACGTGATACTGGGTATTACTACTAATCTTTGTGTTTTTTCGGCGACAACTCTATCTGCTTCCGGTCGTGTAAAAAATCCTTCATTTGAGGCTTCACTTTGGTAGGTGGGAACTTCGTGAGACAAAATTCGGCTACTGAGCAGTATACTTTGCATAGAATCGGACAAAGCATTGCTTGATGTAAAACTGCCGCTATGCGGTACCAGGGTCCATCAAATGGATCTAATATAGCCGGGCAGAGCATATGGTTTAAATTAACTTGGGCAGGCTGAAATTAAAATTTTCAATTAGAAATTAGTAAGTACCTTAAATAATATCAATTCATTATTCAACACTTACGATAGCTATGATTTGCAACACAATGAAGTGATACAATAGATTTAGACAATAGCTAAATATAGACCAGTTGAAATCCCAGAATGGTTCTATGTTATAAACACCTGAAACAACGAATTAAAAAATATTTGTAGAGAAAATTATTTTAGTAACTTGTTTGTAACTATTAGGTTGAGGAAAAAGTTTCTTCGCATTTTATATGAAAATTCAAATATTTTTTAAATAAAGTTTATTGACATTTAACCAAAGTATGTAGGTTGCATTTTGTTCGATAACTTTTTGCCATCTTGTAGGTAGATGATGGAATGGGACATGGTTCCATTGTTATAGAAATTTTGGGGCTTCTGATCAAAAAACCGCGACAAGTGGTTTTGGCAGTCCTCTCGTGAGGTTAACTTGACACTGCCCTAAGAATTCTAAAGAGACCGAAACAGTTGGAAATCTGAAGATGCAAGGTCAGCGGATGCATTAACACCTCCAAGTCAAACTTTCTTAATTTTTGCTAAGTGGCTAAAGATGGTGTGAAGTTTAGTGTTATCATGATGAAAAACCACACCCCTTCTGTTAATTAATTCCGGCCGCTTTCTCTCAACTTCTCATCAGTTCTGCGCAGTAGAATTCAGAATCGATACAAACAGCATCACCTTGTTGCGAATTAACCCGGGTTTCGCCAGAGCCTGTGAAGCCTGACCGGCCTTTGACCACGACCTTTTTCGCACGTTCTTGTCGTACGTGATCCACTTTTCATCACCAGTTATAAGCTTCTTCAAAAATGGTTGGGTTTCATTACGTCGTAATAAAGAATCACAAATGAGTACACGGTTCATTAGTTTTCTTTCAGTGAGCTCGTAAGGCATCCAAATATCGAGCTTATTTGTGTACCCAGCTTTTTTCAAATGCGCCGAAACTGTTTTGTAGTCAATTCCCAGTTCTTCAGCTACGTTGTAACTACTGATATGCCAAATTTGCTCAACTTTTTCAAAAATGGCATTCATTTTATCCGTAACAGGGCGACGAAAGTGATGTGCATCTTTGACATGAAAATTTCCGGATTGAAAACACTTAAACCAATTTTTGCTACTCTCACAGACACTGCACTAGGTTTTTTGTACTAAAATTTGAAAATTTATTGAATTTCTTCATTAGATTCACTCATTTCAACAGTAAGAAAAACAACTGAAAATAAAATGTGTGATTTTTATTCTAACTTGAATTTGGAATTACCTTCATTAAAATTAAACATTTTACTGACACCAAAACCTGCCAGATACAAATGGTATATCCAAAGAAATTTTATTATAAGTTCATAAGTACATACTATAAAGCGAAAAAAATCTATTTCCCCAACCTATTATTAAGTACTTAACGTGGCTCTCCATACACCCGAGCTCATGATTTGCCTCATTCAAAGACTGAATAGTCATGCTTAATTTACCATAATCATGAAATAAATACTATTGACTAGGCACTGGTACAATCGAATATTACTTCCATCAAAAAAATCTGGGAGGTAATTTCCATGATACAGAAATGGAAAAATATCTAACTTAGGTTTATATTCTTGTATTGGTTGTGCCTTCGGATAGATCGAAGCATCTAATGCCGGCACTTCACTGGGCTCTTCGTTATTTGATATTTGTCAACTTGACAACAGTCTGTCTGTATCATGCTTTAAAAGGAATGAAAAGGACTGATGTTAAGTTTACAAATAGCAAACACGAAAAGCCAAGATGAAGAGCCGGCATAACATACATCACATCAGTCATCCATTACCCAATGAACGTTGATTAATTCACGTGTAATAATTGTATTGTTCTAAAAACTCAAGTGGTCAAAATAATGTTTTAATAACATATCGCATTGATATGTATTTAATTGACATCATGGGGTCAATATTAAGTTACGCCTACATAGTGTGGTGGCAAATAATTACTCTTACGTAACGATAGTCATCAACAAGCTGAATATGTTGTGAAGAATTGTATTTTCAACTAATTAAGTACCTCTTCTTAATTAATATGTACAGACATATTATAGCCTTTTATTAGGCCTTAACCCAAGGCCTGATTTAAAGGTGTGGACGAAGGAGTGGAGGCCCCCTGGCACTTCGCGTGCCATTTACGATTTGCAACATCTCTTGTTAGTTACCCATCGAAATTTGTTGTTTTTATCTATGTTGTGAGGGGCCATGGGCCACAGTCCTACCTGCCCTGCCTTAAATCCGGCCCTGTCTCAATCATTCGTATGGTTTGTAGCACGTCGGATTACAATAGGTATCGCAAAGTAAAAGATGTTTTCAGAGATGTAGGTGTTTTATAATATTGAACTGCTGAACAATAGAACATTACTGTTGATATAGTGCAATTTGTAGACCGAGTAATATTGGAAGGACAAAGCGCAGCAGAGTCCTATTTTCTTATTTATCCGCCGATACTGTTAATTTCAGTCGCGGCTTGTATAGCGTTTTTTCAAATTTGCAATGGAACAGACGAAAATATTCAAAAATTAAAGGCGCTTCTTTCGCTATTCGTAAAATTAGACTACGGTAGCGGAAGAGGCAGGATCTAGTCCTGTCTCTGATACCTTGAACTGGTTTATTTAGTATAAAAATCTTTACATTTATAAACCTATCAGCTTTATGATAAAAACATTATAATAAACTATTTTAAATTGTTACTGGAAAAAAGCTTACCACCAATCCTTAAAAGATAGTATGGTATTACAAACATCATTCCATGTTGAATCCAATATAGTGCAGCCTCGGCAAATATCTGAAAATCAGAGTGACTATAGTGGTTATAAAAAGCTGAAGAACACTTTAATGTGAAAAGCACCAGCTAAAGCCCTTCATCGGTGTTAGCGAGATCGCCTTTCTTTGGGCTCTTTTACATTCAACATTTGATTGTATCGCTACACAGACTGTTTGATTGTTTGAAAGCAGTCAATGTGTCTGTGTAGCGACCAGCGTATCAACCATATGTAGTAGATATTTTTGGGGGGCTTTCGTGTTGTTAAGTATCTAGTATCATATCATATCAGTATCTAGGTGTGTATATAATCAAAGCATACAACCCGTGGCGAGCATACAATACAAGTGATTGAGTAGCATTAATAAGATGTCTTAAAATAAATAGTTACGTTATATTTCCACTTTTTGTTAGCCTAGTTTTATGAATAATTTACCAAGAATAAGTAATATATTTCGTGCTATTAAACAAAAGTAACTATGGAAGAGAATTTCCAGCTAAGGTAAGGTAAGCATTTTATTAAATATTATTACACTCTAAATTAGGTCCACGTCAAACTTAAATTTATATCAGAATTTATTTACCGTTCTTGATGCAGTTTCTGGAAACAAAAATGCCAAGAGAGGTCCATTTAATAAATTCAAATGTATGCGAAATAACGCTGTAACTGTTTTACTTGGAGGAGCAACCAATAAATAAATCTGAAACAAATGCTTTCAATCAAACTTGGCAGGTATTAGAAAAGAATGTTATTTATCTTGGGGATTCGTCCTTGATATTAGTATAATTCACGTGCCTAGGTGCTGCCCACAGAGCACTGTGTACTACCACTTTATTTTGGCAAATTAATTAAAATTAAAAACATACTTCCACAGACTATAATACAGTCACCATATTTATGTTTAAGTTGGCATCCTTAAAAAATATTTGGTGCACCGACAGTATTTCAGCTTCTTTAATTGCAAGTCACATGACCAAAAGTAACTTATTTTAGTTCGGATAAATAAAAATATTTTTTACCAATTTCAATTACTGGTTATTGTAACAATTTACGATGATGTGCGCTAGTGTGGAATCTACAATATCTCCGAACGAATCCCGTGTTAAATACAACTTCACGCAGTTAAGTTCATTAAATTACCAATTCTTAAGGATCAGATAATATTCTTACTTGCATTAAAGTTGTTACATGACATGGATTTAAAAGATAAATTACTGTACGAGAGGCAAACTTGAATCCAATTTCCATTCCCCATAGCAGAGTTAAAAGTATCACCAAGAGCCTTTTCCCACCCCTATCACTTTTAATATAATTGTCTTCATTTTTTATATGTAGTTTCGGGTACGTTTTTATCTGAAAAAAAAAGTAAATAACTACTTACCTAAAAAGTTTTCAAGAATCTCTAACTAACACATCAGTTTTAAGACTGGATAGGCAAACAACAAGGTTACTTTTTTCAGATTATTGCAGTGCCATTTTTTTTTAATATTTCTAACACACATACCAGTTAGCCTAGCCCCAAAGTAAGCACTATAAGGCTTGTATTATAGGATACTAGGGTAACGGATAGAATACATATACTGTACATATATAAGTATATTTATATAGAAATACATATTAAACATCATGACTGGAGTACAAATGCACGTATTCATCACACAAACATCTGCCCCCACCGGGATTCGAACCCGGGACCTCTCGAGTCGGCAACACCATGAAACCACTCGGCCACGGAGGTCGTCGCCATTTTATATATATATTTCTATAGGTACGATAGATATTTTTTATTAATTTCAGAATCACAAGCAATCTGATCTGACTGTACAAAATGTACTTATCGCCTATTGTTTTTTATTAATGTTGTTGTAGTGCTGGAACTTCACATGCATTTTCGTTAAATCCCTATTAGTGACTTTTTTGAGTGTAATGTATAGTATGGTTTTTGATTGTTTAGTATGGTTTTTCCGTATATATAACATGACTTTGTTGTCTGTCTGTCCGTGTACTCAGGTCTACGTCCCCTTGAAGGTATGAAAAAATCAAACTTCTAAGTGAACGTAAAAAAAGATTCGGCCGGTTGTTGAAAAGAACTTATAAAAATCTGGAACCCGGAAAATATCTGAAAATAATACATTTGCGACAATAATAGCGGTTAAACAACGATATGGTTGGCATTCCGTAATATTCCGCATAACACCTAATAGTGGTTTTACTTGATTCCCTAGAGCAAGCTAACACATGTAACAAGTGACTGGGAGTTACAGATATCAAGAAAATTGTGGGTGTCTGGAAGGATTACTGTGAGTGTTTGATTAGTGACAGGCCAGATGACCTACGACGATTTCTCAGAAAGAGACTCAGTAACACTGAAAGACGAGCGAACAGGGATCAAACACCTTAAACGGAACAAGACTGTCGGTTTCAATAGAGTCCTGATTGCGACGATAAAAACTACGGGGGAGATAAGAGGTCAAGAAAGACATGGTGCTCATAATTTGCTGTCTAATTTAGGTCACTGGGGTTAGGTCGAGCGATCGGTCCCATTCAATATTCATTCCATTGCATAAAAAAATGCTCAAAAAAGTGCAGTTGGAAATAAAATACTCTCATATCCTATGCCAGTAAAATCCTGCTTATCTGTCATGAGAGATCGCTTCAGAACAAGCTGTTTTTGTAAAGGGTCCAGATACAAGAGAATAGCTGCTCGTTTATGGTATATAACATAATCCTCTACGTGTGTTTCATAGGCTTAAAGAAAGTCTTCGATATCGTCAAAAGACGGAAATTGTGGTTGATGATCCTGAGGGAAATAGAGGTTCGGCTACAACTTATAACCGTTATCGCCGGTTCTAAGATGGTGCTGCAGATGTCCGAGTCGACGGTATCAAATCTGAACCATTTCAAAACGCAAGTCGGCGTTATACATGTTTATAATATTCTATCACCCCTACCCGTACTATTTAATATGTACACAGATTATATCATACTGATGGTTTTTGAAGATTGTGAATATGCGTAGAAATAAACTTAACATACGCCGACGATACTACCCACCTAACTTTAACCATACAGGATATTGAATTGTTTCTTCATCGACTGACGGACCACAGCGTTGGCACAATCAATCATGATAAGACCAAAATTATGCTTGTAAATCGGGTAAACAGTAACAACCAGCAGACGTCCAGGATGTAGCAGGTTGCGTTACGAGTATGTCAATATATCTTAGGCGCCATTATCGCCAACGATGAAGGCTGCGAAGGTATAGAGGATTTGAAGACCTTACGCTATGACTAGATCATCAGTAGAGAAACACGAAGATTTAGAAAAACCTTGGGATAACCAGAAAGACAATGGTTCGACTCATAAGAGGCCTGGTTTTTGCAACCTTCTTATTAAATAAAACAAGTTTCAACGGTATAGATGCACTGATTTATTTGTTTATCGACGTTTCGCATCCTTTTCAGGCTGCGTCGCACTATGGGAACCCGCCTAAGAAAGCCATCTCATAAATGCTTTTTTTATAACCGTGATTCGAGGCATGTATAATATACATCTAATTAAAGCTAAATAGTTACTTTATTATAATCAATACTAGCAAACCTGTGAACCAAATGTTCACCAAAAAAAAAAAAAAATTAAATTAATTGAGAACTTCGGAGATTTTGTGTGGTTTCGTTTGAAATAGAAATCACGTGATTACTCGAAAACCGGAAGTGCTACGTTACTCACATCCGGTTTGTAGTCTTATCAGACTATTCTTAACTTATAACTTAAACATTCTCTATACATATCTCTTACGGTTTGGCCGCTGAAACAGCACCACGGACGGACGGACGGACGGACTTGTCTAATAGATAAGAGATGATTTATCTAGAGTCAGGGAATGAAAAAAAAATGATTTTAGTTAGTTTGGTATAATTTTATAGTATCATAACAAAAGAAGTAAAATATGTATGATACCATTTTAGAAAGCTTAAATGTCTTCTTTTCTTTAAAATTAAATTATATTCAATTTTTTTTAATATTACTAAATTTAAAAAAAATATATCATAACTAGCTGACCCAGCGAACTTCGTACCGCCCTAAAAAAATAGGGGTTCAAATTTGTCCAAATCCAGCGGACAAAATTGTGAATCTAAACCATTCTCAGATCCCCTTGAACACACACAAAAAATTTCATCAAAATCGGTCCAGTCGTTTAAGAGAAGTTCAGTGACATACACACTCACAGAAGAATTATATATATAAAGATGTGTACTATTTTCGTTTCTTAAATTTTCAGTTGGAGTTTTGACAACTGACGAAGTTCTGTTTTTTATGTTATTTCTTAGATAATATAATTTGACGGCAACAATTTTTTTTTGCGTTTCAGTGCGTAACATTGTCAAATGTCTTAGTACGGTAGTATAGTAGTATATTTAAGTACGTTTAATAAGACCTTTCTGATTTCGGGTTTCTCAACATTTAAATAAAGGCTCTTTTCCATTCGTTATATTTTTTTATATTATGCAATACCTACTAATATCGTGTATTTCACATAATATTTAGTTCCCATTCCCATAAGAATCATGTAGAAATCGCATAACCGCAAAATAATAAAATAGTTTATATCTACTAATTTTGCAGACGTCTTCCATAATTTTTCGGTATTAAATTAGTGCATTTGAGTATGAAATATTACAGTTCTTTATTAGTTTTTATCGTAACTAATTGTATTTTAAATATCTCGCCGCAATGAGTCATTTCTCGTGTACCAGACGCGACCTATTGATTGAAAGTGATACAAATTATGGTGTTTCCATGCAAATATTGCTAAAATTATCGCAAGTACTCAGAATTCTTTCATTTATATTACAATGTATATTTGGAAAAATGCTCTGCCACAACAACAGAAAAAAAAATTGAAAAAGAAAAAGAAGACTTATGTACAAAAAAGGTTCAGAGGAACTTATAGATAAACCGAAGCAAGTTAGTGGTAACATTAATGACGGCAATCCAACCAGAAGATTTTTTCAAAATTACCAGTGTACATCAGAAATCACTGGTATAGATGAGCAATTAATAAAACGGTTTTATGTAATACTACAGGTAATGTCAAGCGGTAGAGGTATCGATGCCCCAAAGTTTGGTCAGTATGCATTTAATACAGCACAACTGTATGTTAATATATATAAATGGTACTACATGGCATCTTCCGTACACAAGGTTTTGATTCATGGTGAAAGTGTCATACGTCATTTTTCAGAATTGCCTCTTGGGCAACTTTCGGAAGATGCTCAAGAGTCACGGAACAAAGACTACAAACAGCTTCATCATGGAAGAAAATGTTCGAGGACAGCCACCAACGAAGATGTTCTACACACACTATTGTATACCTCTGATCCGTACATTAAGCAAGCCATACACACTAGGGTATACCTGACAGTTTTACCTGTACAGTTCAACTGCACAGGTAAACTTGAGTTAAGAAAGTTAAGTAAACTTAAGTTGAGACCATACACGTAGCGGTAAACCTGCACAAACTTTCAGTTGAAACCATGACCTCGGCAGCGGCGCTTGATTTCAACACAGTTGCGTTTTTAGGTTATATTGCTTGTTTTATTTAAAAAAAAATAAAATTTAAACAAAGACACCGTGAACGGTGCAGCAAAGCATGGTTACTGCAAAGAAAACAGTACTCTCATGTTATTTACTGAATCAATTGAAATTTAATCCAACAGACTACCGAAATTATCTACGAATGGGTGAAAAGACCTATATTTAACTGCCTCATCTAAGATTGACAGTGACGTAAGATACCTTGGTACAGGGAGAACATTTAATGTGCCAAAAACAATACTCCGATTTATAGATTTCTATAAACTCCTCCAGGACCTAGTTCCGTTTACGAGACAACATTTTGTACTTATACAGTAGAGCGCCGCGCGTCCACCCTAAGACCGTCCACCGGACAACTGACGCCTGCGCAGGCGACCGCAACACACGCTCAGTTTTATCTGCACAGGTAGAAAATATCAAAATTCATATTTTTTCGAGTTGCCTGTACAGGTGTAGAGCAGCAGTTATGTGACATATTAGTCCAGTCAATGAAGGCTTAACTTTACCATTTTGAGTTGATCACCTGCAACCAACGCGAAAATTTCCGCAAGGGTTCGTAGATTAATATACTAAAATTGCAGGGTGCTGCATTGACGGCAAAGGGTGAAAAAAAATGCGAAATGGTGCAAAAACGAGTTTTTCGTCAATATCTCGCGACTGGCTGGAAAAATAGAAAAAGTTTGTAGCACAAAGTTGTAGAAAATTTAATTTCCTACAAAAAAGGTAGTTGATACCTTGCGTATCTCCCATAG